CAATCCACCCCCCTTAGGGGCCCGACGTCCTCATCGGCACACACATGACCAGGGTTCGGCTTTGATACCATATGTCACATCTCAGCCCGGGGCAGCTTACTTCCCGAGCCCGCTTCACTACCGTAGCACGATATTGTCCGCTTTGCGCTTACCATTCCCTCACGATTTTGTTTTTGGGAACTCACGAGCAACTTCCCAGTGAGTCACCCATCATGGGATTGCTCTAGCCCCCTTCTCGCTTAACTTCGGAGTTCCTACGGAACCCGAAGCCAGTGAGCTCCCAAAATGCCTCGTGCTAGGTAGGGATGAGAATATACATATAAGGATCACTCCCATGGGCGATGTGGGATGTCACATTTTTTTTGTTGATGCTGCTTGGTTTAACCAAAGGGTTTAGTGACATATATGTATTGATCGTCTGTGACTGGTTTTTAAGAACAAACTGACTGATTTTTTTACTTTAAATCTATAAGAATTTTTGTTAAAATTAAGCACTTACGTATGTGTTACGTGATTAATTTTGACGAAAACTGTAACCACGTTAACTCAAAAGACTTTGGTCAAATTTACTTGATTTGTGAATTCAAAAGAAACTCATACAACGATTAGTGGGCCAATGAAAAAGCCCATGAAAGAGTCCGACCTACTTTACACATGGGCTATTCAGAAAAGATTAATCAGGGTTTTAGAAGGGTTTTTACGATAGAATTAATAAATAAACAAAATTAGGGATTTAGGGAATTTGAAGGGTCAATCAAAAAATTAGGGATTTAGGGATTTGAAGGTCAAACGAAGTCCCAACTCCTCCTCCTCTGCACTCCGCTGTGTCTGCACCTCTCCTCCACCTCCAGGCGGTGGCTACACTGGACTGCGCTCACTCCCTCATGTAAGTGTGTTTCTTTTTTTTTTTTTTTTTTTAGTCTTTCGTTCTTGAATTTTAGGGTTTAGCGATTGTAGAATTGGGGAAATTAGGGATTTTAATTGTTTTGAACCTGAATCACTGAATTCAGTAGCATTCCTCTCTCGAGTTGCTTCAAGCCTGCCACTCTTTCAGTCACGGTAAGCTTGTTGGGTTTTAGTTGTCTCGCAATCCCGCGTTGGAGAATTGACAAAGTTAAATATGAATTATATTGAGATTGACTGAATTTGTGAGTGTGGGTGTTTAGGATTTATGAGGTTTGAAGGAACGACTATTGAGTTTTAAGTTAAGAAATTTCCAAGTATGTTCTTTTTCTCGAGAATGCGTGTTGGATGAGTCAAATTTAGGTGTGTGTAGCTCTCATTCGTGACTTTCTGATTTGTATATTTGGATTCTATCCCCTCATTACCAATAGTTGTAGGCTATAGGCTATGTGTGGTCGAGGGATTTCGACGTCCTAAGGGATTGATGCCAAGTTTGTAAGGGATGGATCGCAAAATGTTAGATAACACGGATTATAACTGTCACATGCTTATACATGTATTTGTCCTAGTTTTAACCATACATCTATTTGTAATATTTTGAGATATCATTTGCATCTATAGGAGATCAAATTGTTTTAACGATATGCTGTAGTTTAACACTGTGTTGGATTTGTTCTAATTTCCCAAAGTAGTAATTTGAGCTAGCAAGATGAGCTAGCCAGACGTTTAGTTACGATGACAAGTTGTTGTGCTAATTTTTTCCTATATTTGTTCTTTTTTTTGGTTGTCATCAACAGGTGGGGAATGCCATAGAAACAATGGGGACTCTTTTGAAAGTTTGACAAAATCTTTCTGCTAATGAAATTTGGATTTGACGTTCAGCCCTCTGCAGTTTTAAACCCTGGGTTCATGATAGAATACAGACTCCGAAAGTTGAAAATGGCAAGGCATGTCTACCTTCATCGGAAATCCATATTGAATGCCCTCAACAAACCCCAAAATCCAATCTCAGTCCCTCTCTCCTTCAATCTCTGCACTGACTCATTTGCCAACCAAACCCATAAACGACAGATTGAAGACCCAACAGAGAACCACAACCCCACCAACCTCCAAGAGCAACAACGCCATGAGCAAGTCCGAAAGCTCCGAGTCCTCCTCCAGCAGGGTCGCTCTGAAACTGCACGGAGGCTCATCAAGTTTCTCATTCTCCCCGATTCACCCTTCTCTTCCCCGACTGAGCTCTACACCTTGTTTTCTCTCTCTGCACCCTCCATGAAACCCACATTCTGTGACATGCTTTTAGCAGCTTGTTCAGAGTCTAAGATGCCGAATGAAGCAGTAGAATTGTACAGTTTGATGAGGAAAAGTGATACGCGCCCTTGCTTAGCTTCTCTCAATGTGATGCTTGAATGTTTGGTGACTTCAAAACAGTTTGGCAAGACCCTTGAAGTGTTTTCGGAGATTTTCGAGTCGGGTCAGGGCATTCGACCTGATAAGTTCACGTATGGGAAGGCAATACAAGCTTCTGTAAAGTTAGGGGACCTGGAAAGGGCAGGTCAGCTAGTGAATTCAATGAAGATAAAGCGGATGAGTCCAGGTGTGTTTGTGTATAATGTTTTGCTCAGTGGGTTGTGTAAAGAGAAGAAAATGAGAGACGCACAGAAGGTGTTTGATGAGATGGTTGAGGGAAAGGTGGCCCCAAATTTGGTTACGTACAATACGATGATTGATGGGTATTGTAAGGCTGGTGAGTTGGAGAAGGCCTTTGAATTGAGAGAGCGGATGAAGGATGAGAATGTGGAAGCTAATATGGTCACATATAATACAATGCTTAGTGGACTTTGTCGGGTGAAGAGAATGGAGGACGCAAAAAGGATTTTGGAAGAGATGGAAGCTCACGGCTTTGTGCCTGATGGTTTTACTTATAGTATACTCTTTGATGGGCATTTCAGGTGTGGGGATGGTGAGGGGTCACTGGCTTTATTTGAAGAAGCAAACAGGAAAGGTGTGAGGATTAATAGTTATACTTGTAGCATTTTTTTGAATGGCTTGTGCAAGGAAGGAAACATTGAGAAGGCAGAGGACGTTTTGAAGAAACTAATGGAAACTGGTTTTACTCCAGATGTAGTGGTATATAATACTATCGTCAATGGTTATTGTCGAAGAGGTGAGATAGACAAAGCCATCTTTGCAATTGAACAAATGGAAGTTCGCGGGTTGAAGCCGAATTGCATCACCTTCAATTCTTTGATTGACAAGTTCTGTGAGACAAAGGATATGGATATGGCTGAGGAATGGGTGAAGAAGATGGCAAAGAAGGGAGTTATTCCAAATTTGGAGACGTATAACATCCTTATTAATGGCTACGGGCAGATGTGCGTATTTGATAAGTGTTTCCAGATTCTTGAAGTGATGGAAAATAAGGGGATTAAGCCAAATATTGTGAGCTATGGTTCTCTTGTAAATGGTTTATGCAAAGACGGGAGGCTTCTTGAAGCTGAGATAGTACTGAGGGACATGGTCAGCAGAGGGGTTTTGCCAAATGCACAATATATAATATGCTCATTGGTGGTAGCTGTACAGTGGGGAACCTGAAAGATGCTTTCAGATTCTTCGATGAGATGGCGAAAACTGGGATAAGTCCAACACTTGTAACCTACAATGCACTCATTCATGGACTCTGCAAGAAAGGACGGGTGATGGAAGCTGAAGATTATGTCTCTCAAATTACAAGTAGCTGTTATAGCCCGGATGTGATTACATACAACTCCCTAATTTCAGGTTATTCTGATGCAGGAAACACCCAGAAATGTCTGGAATTATATGAAACGATCAAGAGTCTGGGCATGAAACCTACTTTGTATACATATCATCCTCTAATTAGTGGATGTAGCAGGGAAGATATGGCATTGGCAGAGAATCTGTATAGTGAAATGCTACAGATGGGCTTGGTTCCTGATCGGATTGTATATAATGCACTCATTCACGGTTACGCAGAGCACGGAGACATTCAAAAGGCACTTGCTTTGCACTCTGAGATGGTAAACCAGAAGATTTATGTTGACAGGATGACATATAATAGCTTGATTCTGGGGCACTTCAAGCAAGGAAAAATTTCAGAGGTAAAGGACTTAGTAAATGATATGAAGGCTCAAGGACTGGCTCCTAAAGCTGATACGTATAACTTACTTGTTAAGGGACACTGCGAACTGAAGGACTTCAGTGGTGCATATTTTTGGTATAGGGAACTGTTTAAGAATGGTTTTCTTCTAAACGCCTCGACGTGCCATGAACTTACATCTGGCCTTCAAAAGGAGGGGAGGTTGCGAGAGGCCGAGATTGTCTGCTCAGAAATGAGCGTCAAAGGATTGAATGACTGCAGTTCTAATGAGGATGTGTTTTCTGTTGCCAATGTATAGGGAACAGATGTTTGCCATTCTTGAAGTTCTCAGCACAAGAATTGGCCAGGATATAAGAATATTGCACAACCAGTAACCAAGTATTCTTAGCGTACGCCTCTGCTGGCAGCCTGGCATATCCTTGAAGGGGAGCACAGTTAACTCCAAAAAGCACTTGGTCAGATAATTTCAGAAGTAATCCGGCAAACTTTGGCTGGAGGAAGCGAGCAAGGAGCTTTTCGTTGTTTCGAGGACTTGGTAGAGAGTTATCAGTGGAAATAAGCTTCGAGCATCCCATATCATCTCCATAAAAAACCCCAAAAAATGTATGGTATCTTTATAACTTTATGGTGAGTTTTAGTGCTGTATATCTTGTTTATCCTATTCGTCTTCAATGTGAATAAGCCTTTGGATTAGCGTGAAAAGTAACAATCTTCAAAGCTGTTTCAAAGCTGTTCTTTTTGCTGGAAAATGGAATGTATGTTGTAGAACGTTGATGCATCTAACATCACACACACACACACTAACTTACGGCTGGTTTTCCATCGTCGATTATGCACGCAGTTCAGCACGGTGAAGTTACTTGTCAAATGGATTCGTGTATTGTGAAAATTAATAGGTTAATAGGTAAAGTTTTAGTACAAATGATGACGTACTTGAAGGTTTGTTTCATGTTAATCTTGTGTATCAGTTCCTGCAGTACGTTCTCGCAGGGGCGCTGGATTGCTGGTCATAACCTCCAAGGACCAGAGAAGATATCTGTAGGATTCCACCGGTGCATATTTGGGGTGAAGGGAAATGTTCGAGCACGGTTTTCTTCAAAAGGAGGTGAGGTTGCGAGAGCCCGGGATTGTCTTCTCAGAAATGGTGGTCAGCGGAATGGATGTTCGCAGCTCCAATGACGATGTGTTTTCCGTTGCAAAGGTGTAAGGATCAGATGTTTGGTGCTCTTGAAGTCCACGGCACAAGAATTGGCCAAGATAGATACCCGTATAGAAGTAATTCTGAACCAGTAACCCGGCAATGAACCTTCCTTTCTCTTCAACTTTTCTGCTCTCGGAAAAAGCTATGCTCATCTTCAGATGCGGAGAAACATTAATGAGGATGATTCTGGGGCTGAAGACGGGAAGGAAATCGATACCTCGGGCTGAAGACGGAGACATACGTTGAAGACATAAGTTTCGAGGACTCTATGTACGTACGGTGAATTATGGTTGCTGCGTACCTTGTTTATCCTCCTCTTCTTCTTCCATGTAAGCAAGGAACAAAGTGTACTTTCCGATAAGCATTCCGAAAACATACAATATCCTAACTTCAATTGCAAAGAAAGGTAGAATCTTGATTTGAACATTAGCTGAAAATCATCTAGCTACAATTGGTTGGTATTTTTTTTATGGTTTGCTTTCGTTTCTGCCATGTTTGTCATTGCTTCTGCATAGCAAAAGCGCTTCTGACTGCATTTCGTAGAAAAACTTGGAAGTGTTTTTGACTCGCAGAAGCGCTTCTAGCATAAGTTCTTTATGGAAAAGCAATTCCAAACAGGCCATCAAACCAAATTTTACCACGCCAAAACACAAACAATTCATCACGAAAATTCAAAAACCAGAACTTTCTACATTCATCAAATCAGAAAACCCAACTGAATTTATTAAACAGAGACCAGATCTCTTAGTTCATTTTTATACAAGCGAAATTGAAGGAGCGGAAAATCGAACTCAGGACCTCGGTTGCAAAGCTACTCTTAACCAACTAATCTACAAGCCCGCAAAGGCCGCAACACAGTATTATACTCATAAATTAAAAACAAAACCCAAGAAGGAAAAACCTCACATAGCTAACCACCGCCGTCACCGCCGCCGATAGAAGCAAATTCAGAGGACTTTGAGAATGTCCTCAGCTCCACTGGAAGTAAAGGCACCGCCTTCCTCCAAATTCAAGACCTTAACAACTCCGTCCTCCGCCAAAAGCGAGTACCTTCTGGACCTGACGCCCAGCCCCACCGGCTTATCGCTCAAATCGAGCTCCGCCCCGATCGCCCTCGTGAAATCGCCGTTCCCATCGGACAGCAGCAGCACCTCGTCGCCGATGTTGAGATTCTCCTTCCACGCCTTGAGCACGAAGACGTCGTTGACCGCAATGCAGGCGATGGTCTCGATGCCCTTCGCCTTGAGCTCCCCCGACTTCTCCACGAATCCCGGGACGTGCTTCTGGGAGCAGGTCGGGGTGAAGGCGCCGGGGACGGCGAAGAGGACGGCCTTCTTGGATTTGGTGAGGTCGGAGACAGTCACGGTCTGGACGTCGTCGGCGGCGTCGAGATAGGAGAGGGTGGCTTCGGGGAGCTTGTCGCCGACGGCGATGGTGGCGGATATGGGTTTGGAGGCGGTGGTGGAGAAGCGGAGGAGGGGTTTTGGGCGGGGGGAGTGCTTGAAGTGCAGGGGGATATAGGAGATTTTGGAGGAGAAGGATTTGGATGAGAAGAGAGATGTTTTGGGCGCCGCGGCGGCGCTGGTGGTGGAGAAAGCGAGGGATTTGGGGGCTGTGAGGAGCCTTGAGATTGTGAGGGTGGCAGCCATGTTTGGTGGTTTGAGTTTTAGAGTCAGAGAGTGAGTCAGAGAGAGAGAGAGAGAGAGAGAGGCGTAAGCTTTGGGTTTGTTGGGTTTTAGGGCTTTGGGCAGAGGGAATAAGGAGAGGTGGCCGAGAGGTGGCTGTGAAAAGGGTCGGATGGATGGGATTTATTGGAGCTTCTGTTGTGTGGGCATCTGAGTTTTTCATATACCTCCAACTCTGCCCCAATAAGAAACATCAACGCGTATAGGACGAAAGAGGATTCCGGAATCCTCCAATCACATTCGTTTATTGTACATCGTATCGTCAATTTTTGTCAAGTACTGTTTATATTCAATTTTAAATAAAAAAATTTACAATAATTTCTGACCGTACGATTTACAATAAACATATATGATTGGATGATTCTCAGGATTCTCACAAAAAGGATCCGACGAGGATCCTGCTAGATATAGGACATGTTCTTGGATATATTCACTCGGATGTGTCCTCTCCACAAACACAATTCACAATTCATCAATAGAATATCGTTGTATTAAAAGTATATAAAAAAACTCATAGTGAAAATTTGCACTTTAGTTCTCCTTAGTACAATTCATTTCAATTCGATTGATTATCGTCCTATTACGTATTAGGGGAATGCTAGGAATATTTGCATGAACCTTTTGTATTTAGATCTTTTCATTTGAAGAATGATATGTCAGTTTTTTTACACAAAAGCAAAACCTTTAATGCTTTTAGCTAAGAATTATGATGAAAAATAGAAAATATAATTCAAATGCATTAATGTTCTTGTTTTCTTTGTAAAAAATGACACATAATTTGAAAATATCCAAATACAAATGTAAGTGCATAAATTGTGGCGTCCTAACTGTCAAGTGTCATTGGTATAATTTTACGTAAAAATTTGAAGATCGCGTTCTAACAATGATCGTTGACAGCAGAACTTAAACCTTGATGCATCCAAATGATCATTTTTTGACACGATATTTATTGAAAATGAACATGTTTTTAGGACAAAGTGTGGCTTATGTAGTTTTTGGCTCTTGATAACCATTTCATTATAGTTTTTAGTTTCCAATTCATTATACAGTTTTTTATTTTTCTGAAAAACTTGTTTGGTATTTTACTTTAAATTTTCATGTTAAATATTGAAACCTCAATAGAGTAATTTTTATTTTATATTTTAAAAATAAAAAACTGAAAATACTTATCAAGCAGCCTATAGTTGTGTTACAAGTGGCTCACTCTCGCAGGTTTGAAGGGCCATATGGAAGTCCAAACTTATGGAATGAGGATCCTCTTAGGATCTCTTTATAGGGATTTTAGAAATTCTTTAATTACGTTCGTTTATCGTATATTGTACGATTAATTTTCGTTAAGTACTATTTATATTCAATTTTAAATATAATAATTTTTAATAATTTCTAATCATACAATATACGATAAATAAAAATAATTAAAAAATTCCTAAAATTCTCGCAAAATGATCCGAACCCATTCAAAGTTACGTTCTCCTTTCAAACCAAAAGAAGTGATGGTGTACACGTGTAGTAGTAGTGTTTAAGTACTGTCATGCTACAGTTGAAGTTAGGCCACACGTGGTAGGTTTACGTCAGCACGTGTTTTCCTTGACACCTTGTGATATACTGCAAAAGTTGCCAATCTACTGAACAAAAAAGCGAAAGCATTGTTGCATGTCTTTGTCAAGCCCACGGGCTACAAGTGAAACGACTTAAAGTTTTTTATTTTTTTATGTCAACCGATAAATTTTTATTAAATTAATCATCGTTAGAGTTCGAATTTACACTATTATGCAAAAATTTAACACAATTTTATCACTATAATAAATAACCGCTTGTGGAATGACTTAAAGTTAATCTACGTGTTTTGTGTACACTTATGTTTTATTTTTTTACACTTAAATTACTGTCACACATTTAAATAATTTACCAAACTTTTAATAATACTCCTCTTTTGCTTTTTATGAATTTTTTTGGATACCTATTTTTCATTTTCTTTGGACGCTTATTTTTCTTGTATTAATTATGAAGAGGGTGACATCATTGTGAAGTTTAGATTAGCAAGGTAAAGTAAAATGCAACAATTGCTGAGTTCCTCAGTCACTTTGTTACCATGCTACTTGTTTTAAAACCCTATAGGTGTGCAAAGAAAATAATTATTTTCATGAATAAATCACTAAGCCCTTTTATGGTAATTTGTATATGAGTATAGCTGTATAAGATAAAATTAGCAGGTGTCTATAGACGAAACTTGGATGTACTTCAAACAACGTTCGAGTCCAAGTCATAACTCACAAGATAATAGTAGGCCAACAAATCAATGATCGATCTGTGTTAATAAGATCCCAAACTAACCTCACTTTTTTTTTTTACATTAACAGAGAATCCAAAATTTAGAACTTCTTAAATATTAAATACACATGGTCAAGTTGGTTAGAGTATTTTAATTTTCCCACTACGTCTACACTCAAGTTTGTACCCCTCTCCCCTGCTCTAGATTCAATTATAATATCATTCGAGGAAAAAAAAAAAAAACTCTTCAAGTATGACCCTTTCTAGCAACATGATGTAACACTAAACAACAATTTCGAGGTTCTAATCATTCAAATATGTTACCTTAGAGTCATGTTTGAGATTGCTTGTGAAATTATTACAAGCACTATCTCACGATCAACATTAAAAGTTAAAAGTGTTTTTGAATCATATAATCACGTTCAAGAGAATTACATGTTATACACTTCATTAAGTAGAACTTTATTTCACTTAGACCCTCAATAGAAATTTCAATGTGTTTCTAATTAAAGCACTTCTAACATAAGTGCTTATGAGTAGAAATGCTTCAAACATAGACAATCTCAAACAAACCCTAAATAGTATGATGATTTTTGGCTTCGTATTCTTGGGTGATAGTACTCAAGCCAATGGCGAATCCCTCAAAGTTCAAAGTGGTTAGTTTAGTGGCAAAGCCATAATTTGAGCCTATGAGGGGTCCAAATGTCTCAATTCCAAACCCTCCTCGAATCTTACAAAAATTACTCTGTCATATAATGAGCAACTGACCAACGTCATTTAAGTATAGTTTGGTGTCATCTTAATCATCATCTTCCTTAAGCCTAAACTCTAAGCCTCTTTGACTTTCTTCCTCTCTCCCTTCACTGATCCCCAAACCAAAGTCCTGCTCAAAACTCACAAGTAACAAATTCCCTAAACTCCATAGGAGCCACCAACCTCAAATCAAATCTGACAAAATGAATTAAAGTAAAAGTCAGGTTGAGGCTCTGAGCCTACGAAAATCTTGAAAATCATAAGCATAACACTAAACTTTTATGCGTGAAAGTAATGTTAAGATGGACTTAGACCATCCTAGTCCTTTCATAGCTCCGCCTCTGTTAGTTGATCCATGGAGGCCAAAAAAGTGACTGAATAGTGCCTCTGATAACCTCTCATTCGACTAGATAGTAACTTGATGCGCATAAACTGATCGACGTAATAACTGAGTGGGCACTCAACACCGCCTGCGCGAGCTTTTCACCCGGATCCATAGTCTTCTGTTTTCCTACGAGCCAAAGGTTTGAAAAGCTTTATATATGTGTACTCATGATCCATAGTCTTCTGTTTTCCGGGTGAAACAGAGTTACTTGCTATATATATGTGTACTCATGATCCATAGTCTTCTGTTTTCCTACGAGCCAAAGGTTCTCATTACAAAATTTATCTACCAAGTAACTATCAGTCCATAGTTTTCAAGTTCGTAGTTTATGCCACAAAAGTCTTAACAAAATACAAGCATGCAATCCCATGCGCATTCAGCCACCAATTTTTGAATGGAAATATACATTAAAAAAAGAAAGAGTAAAACCACTAATATTTAGAGAGAACCAACCACTTCAGACTTCTGGAGTCAAATCAAAGATGAATTATACAATATTATTAATTAATTGAAATAAATAAGGCCAGTAGCTTAGAAATGGACTCTATTGGATGGAATTAACTTATTATATTCGGAAACAAGTTCATACATCACGTATCATAACGAATACTGTACATATATTTTTTCTTATTTATATTATGAAGCGTGGTGCATGGACTGGCGTTCCGAACACATAGAAAGATTTATGGTCAATATATATGTTTTGAATTTGAATCGCCTCTAGAAGTGTTTAGCGCTTAAACGCTTGGGAATTCAGGCCCTTGGTTTGTATGAAAGAGACATTGAAGTCTTTAATTTTTGTAAAGTGGACAAACAAATGAATTAATAAAGATCGTCAAATTCAATTTGAGTTGTCCAAGCTTTAGATTCAGGACACAAATTCGAAGACGATCTCTGTCCATATCACTCGATGAGGGATGCAGAAACTGAAAAGAGTTTGAAGTGCAGAGATGTTACAGTTTTGTCAACCCGTAACATGCCGCAGGAGAGAATATGCCTTGGCAGATCCGCATCGAAAGCTTGCTTAATTACAGAAATGCATGCTTGCCCAAAAATATATGTTTGAAAAAAAAAAAGAAAAAAAAAACTTACGTCCTCAATTGATATATAATATAAGTCATGAAAGATTCATGTAGTATAATATTAAAAAGATCTCAGTTAAAAGCCGAGACGACATCTATCTATAGGAATAAAACGATTCTTCAAATTGAAAATTACTAAGTACGGGAAATGTTTATAATCAATCGAGTGCTAATTCAATCACGAGTTGGTGGTTCAGTGGTAATTGGTGGATTACAAGGCTTCCTTCAAATTAAAAACTGGAAGTCTTGAGTTCGAAATCCGTTCTAGACTTGTGGCCAAAGGAGGCTGAAATGTCTCTGTGAGTCTTTCCGGCCCGCGGAAAAGATGGATAATCGTGATTTGCCACTAGTTGTCCCAGTTTTTATTGTAAACAATTGTATCAAATCATTAAAAATTTAAATTATGATCTGCATTTATAATGTATGATATATAAAGTGAGTAGAGTAATAATAATGACGACATTTATATTCTTACCTAATAATTAAAAGTCTTGCATTGCACAACAAATAAAACTCCTTATTTACAAGAAAAAGGAAACTGAGAATTAAATTTCATGACTATAATTTTTTTTATACCATAAAAAAAATAAAATGTGATTTTTAACTTATAAAAGGTAAAAATCATACGTACCATACCACGTGCAACTAGAACGTCAGAAACGACCTACCCATTTTTCCTTTTTCTTTTATTTATATATTTATTTAATTTTCTCGCTTTTTATGTTTTTATTTTCTAACCCCAATTAAAAAGTTGCTTAATCGGTCAGCTAAACCTAAAAGATTAAATCGGACGGCTGTATTGCTCTACATATATGCCTGTCTCCTCAGCCTCCCGACCAAGGCTCTTACCAACTCTCTCTCATCTCACTTTCTCGACGCATACTCTCTCACTTCTCTCTCTCTCTGCATCCATCCATGGCGACGATCCAGAGCATTAAGGCTAGGCAGATCTTCGACAGCCGTGGCAATCCCACCGTCGAGGTTCGCATCTCTCTCTCTGTCTCTCTTGCTCTCTCGTCGATAGTTTCTAGGTCCCCGATCTACTTGTTCGATCACTGATCGCAATTATCTTTTGCCATTCGACTCGATTAAAACGATGCGTTTCGTTCTTAATTAGGACATGCAGATTTACCAGTATTCTGTAGATTGATTGGTGTTTGATTACAGAAAACATCATTTGTTCTTTATTTTTCCGAATTTAATTTTTTTTTAATTTCAAATTTTTAGTCCGTAATTTTGTTGAATTTAATTTTTGTAATAGATCGATAATTGTGCGATGGAAAGTAAAAAAATTGATGTGTGTTCATTGCAGGTCGATATCATACTGTCCGATGGCACTTTGGCCAGAGCCGCTGTTCCAAGTGGTGCATCCACTGGTATATATTTCTCTCATCCATCTGTATGTTTTTTGTGTTCTTCGAAACGCTACGATTTTTCGAACTTGTATGGTGCAATTCTTGTTTGTTGGCTTGCATGCATCTGGTTTATCGACTTTCATTGACTTGCAGGAGTTTACGAGGCCCTTGAGTTGCGCGATGGAGGTAAAGACTACCTCGGAAAGGGTGTATCGAAGGTGAGCAATCGGCAATCGCTTTGCCGTTAATTTGCTTTTGCATACCACCCAGATTGAAGATTGTATTGATGTATTTGTGATTGGTTTACTAACCTTTATGTTGTGTGCAGGCTGTGAACAATGTCAACTCAATCATCGGCCCTGCTTTGATCGGCAAGGTTGGTTGAATTTCGCGTGCTATTGCATAATATGTTTCGTTTTAATCGATTTATTGTTTTTACTTGAAATTTTCTGTTCTAACGTTTTACTTGGATTTCTTGTTGCATTATATAGGACCCAAGTGAACAGACTGCTATTGACAACTTCATGGTTCAACAGCTCGATGGAACTGTTAACGAGTGGGGTTGGTGCAAACAAAAGGTATAACATATTTGTGCTTGTTACGTTTGGCCTATATGTGCAAATCTTTGGTTGTAGGAATTGTCAGTCAAACTAACTTGGATATACTTTTGTTTTTCAGCTTGGTGCAAATGCCATTTTGGCCGTGTCTCTTGCAGTCGCCAAGGCTGGCGCTAGCGTCAAGAAAATTCCTCTGTACAAGGTAATAGCTTCGTGTAGATCAGAATCAGATTATATCTTTTGCGCTTCTTTTCTATTTATTGTTCAGTGTTAGGTGTTAAAGGACTGGATGAATTGCTTTTTCCGTTTTTATCTGTATCTTTTTCATTACATGTCTGATTTTAATATTGCCATCTCTGAAATTGCAGCATATCGCCAATCTTGCTGGCAACAAGAACTTAGTTTTGCCTGTTCCTGCTTTCAATGTCATCAACGGTGGATCGCATGCAGGAAACAAGCTTGCAATGCAGGAGTTCATGATTCTTCCTGTTGGAGCTTCCTCATTCAAGGAAGCCATGAAGATGGGCGTGGAAGTATATCACAACCTTAAGGTGGGTTACCCTTTCCTTGAGGGAAGGGGTTTAGAGTATTTTGGGAATGTATTGTTCTTATTCTATATTCATGAGATCATCATAGGGTCATTGCGATGAGGGAATTTTAATTTTTCTCTTCCCTGAATTGTCTGCTAAATCACGCCGTTACTTTGCCCCAATATTTTCAGGATCCGCGCCCTTGATATGTTGAGCATGCTTGCATGATTCAATTATGCTTCTTAATTTCTCACTGACCACTGTCTTGTGTTCTCTATAGTCTGTGATTAAAAAGAAGTACGGTCAGGATGCAACCAATGTTGGTGATGAAGGTGGATTTGCTCCTAACATCCAGGTTAACCATAGTTTTAAGAAACCTAATCATTCAATTGAAGTTTTTACTCGTTCCTTTTTATTTCTTGCACATTTGTGTACTGAAATCATCATTATTTTTACATGAATTCAGGAGAACAAGGAAGGTCTTGAATTGCTCAAGACAGCCATTGAGAAGGCTGGATACACCGGCAAAGTAAGTTTATTTCTAATCACCGAAGTTCTACTACAAAGAAATTTTTTTGACTCTGCAACAGTTATGAACGGAATTTCATTTTGTTTTCTTCAGGTTGTCATTGGAATGGATGTTGCTGCATCTGAGTTTTATGGATCAGATAAAACCTATGATCTGAACTTCAAGGAAGAGGTTCGCCTTTTTACAATCCCCTCCATTGAATCTGTGTTGCTGCTTTTTGTTTATCCAACCTCGAAAAATGTTTATTCTTAATTAATTGTTAACTTAATTTTCTATCTTCTTTTCTGTCTGTACAGAAAAATGATGGTTCCCAAAAGATCTCAGGAAATGCTCTAAAGGACCTCTACAAGTCATTTGCAAGTGAGTACCCTATTGTTTCAATTGAAGATCCATTTGACCAAGATGACTGGGAACACTATGCCAAAATGACAGCTGAAGTTGGAAAAAAAGTACAAATTGTGGGAGATGATCTGTTGGTCACCAACCCCAAGGTCGGTTGATTTCTTAAGCGATGTTTACCTTGTCTCTTTCCCCCGAGAGAAAAGGGGAATCAATTTAATGTATCTTTCTGATGTCCTAACTTCATTGACATCTCTACTTTTCCTGTTTATATTTTCAGAGGGTTGAGAAGGCAATCAAGGAGAAATCTTGCAATGCTCTTCTTCTCAAGGTACGACAGGGATCTCACTCCTTAATCGATCATACTAGAGCTTGTGTATTTTTACCATCATGAAAATTTTAACCCTTTTTAATCTTGTTTGGAATACAGGTGAATCAAATTGGATCCGTAACTGAGAGCATTGAGGCTGTTAGAATGTCCAAGAAAGCTGGATGGGGTGTGATGGCCAGCCACCGCAGTGGAGAAACCGAGGATACCTTCATTGCTGATCTCTCCGTGGGTTTGGCCACGGTAATTATTTGATCTGAAATCTATGTCATCCCTCAGTTTTCTCCAAACACCCTCATTTGATTTCTCATGATTTTTTTTTTTAAATTTTCTCAGGGACAAATCAAGACAGGAGCTCCCTGTAGGTCGGAGCGTCTTGCCAAGTACAACCAGGTTCGTACCAGCACTAGTTTCTTTGTGTTCGTATGATTTTGTTAAATTTCTTTGGTCATTGCTTCGTCCAATTCTTCTTTAATTTAGCTTCCGAAAATATCTTGTTTTGTATATGCAGCTCTTGCGAATTGAGGAGGAGCTCGGTTCAGAGGCAGTGTATGCCGGAGCCAAGTTCCGCGTGCCTGTTGAGCCCTATTAGATTATGAAGTGCTTCCAAAGCTTTTGCGGGATGTGAGAAATCGGAGTTTCACAACATAGGGAATAGTTATGTGGAACTTGAAACCCCTTTTCCAATAATTTTCAGATAAGTTTTGTTCTGAGAGCTTGAAAACAGTGGTCTACTGGAAATTTTCGAGTAAGCATGATCGACTATGTACTCTGTTTTGAGTTGTTTTTTTTCTAGTGTTTGCTGCTACTTAATTTTTGGTAATCGTTTTGTGAATGTGCTGTGTTTAAGAACAAGTTTTCGTCTTCTGCTTCAGTGTTCGCTGTGCAATTATCGTTTCCTATTTTCGAGTGATACGTCAAAGTTACTTCTACTCCCTTTTGGGTATTGTTTTTATCAATCTTAGTGAAAAAGGAACGTTTCATTCGATTTCTTTTGATCCGGAGAAACGTGTTCATGTTCAATATGCTTCAAAAGTTCGTTTTGGATTGTGATTGATAAGAACGCTTCAATGTTTTTCAAGTTTGATTTGGTCTGAGATTGATAAGAAACATCATAATTATTGTCTCCTTTTGTAAATGAAAGGTCTTACGTTCGACTCACATTAATGACAAGTCATTGAAGTACTATGACTAACCTATGGTGTGGCTTATCACAAGTGCCACTCTCCCCTTAATGTCGAATATCAGTGTATAGAGAAAAAACGTCATAGACATCGAGTAAGGTACCGCTCGCAGAGATTCTTTTGTATGTTGGTCTTACTTGGTCTTACAGAGTCCCATGGAGCACGAGAGTTACCCTTAAGAAATGAATCCGGATCCTAGTCATATCATCTTTTGTAAGGTATTGTTTGTGTTTAATTTTAAATAAAAACGGATTCTCACCAAAAGGATCCGAAGAGGATCCTGTTGGTTAAGAAGCAGTCCTACCAAGTAACACATCAAAAACGTATAAAGACGAGACCTAAATTTGGGTATTTAAAAAAAAAAAATAACATGGAGCACGAGAGTTACCCTTATGAAATGAATTCGGATCCTAGCCATATCATCTTTTGTCAGGTATTGTTTGTGTTTAATTTTAAATAAAAACGGATCCTCACCAAAAGGATTCGAAGAGGATCCTGTTGGTTAAGAAGCAGTCCTACCAAGTAACACATAAAAAACGTATAAAGACGAGACCTAAATTTGGGTATTTTAAAAAAAAAAAAAATTAACATGGAGCACGAGAGTTACCCTTATGAAATGAATCCGGATCCTAGCCATACCATCTTTTGTCAAGTATTGTTTGTGTTTAATTTTAAATAAAAACGGATCCTCACCAAAAGGATCCGAAGAGGATCCTGTTGGTTAAGAAGCAGTCCTACCAAGTAACACATCAAAAACGTATAAAGACGAGACCTAAATTTGGGTATTTAAAAAAAAAAAAAAACATGGAGCACGAGAGTTACCCTTATGAAATGAATTCGGATCCTAGCCATATCATCTTTTGTCAGGTATTGTTTGTGTTTAATTTTAAATAAAAACGGATCCTCACCAAAAGGATCCGAAGAGGATCCTGTTGGTTAAGAAGCAATCCTACCAAGTAACACATCAAAAACGTATAAAGACTTGTCAGGTATTGTTTGTGTTTAATTTTAAATAAAAACGGATCCTCACCAAAAGGATCCGAAGATGATCCTGTTGGTTAAGAAGCAATCCTACCAAGTAACACATCAAAAACGTATAAAGACGAGACCAAAATTTGGGTATTTCAAAAAAAATAAAAAAAATAAATAAAACAAAAAATAATGCAGGCTGTGGGGTTCGAACCCACGCGTACTTATGTACAGCAGATCTTAAGTCTGCCCCCTTAACCTCTCGGGCAAACCTGCTCCACGTTAATCGTTCACCAAAATATTATCTTTATTAGTTTGAACGGGGCAATTATTCAATAGCGGTGTTATTGCTGCCGCTGCGCGTTTCATAAAACTTAAAAACCCTAAAACAAGGTCAAAGGCATCAAACAATCACAATTGGGAGGTCACAGCCATGGCGGAGCACTTAGCATCCATCTTCGGCACCGAGAAGGACCGCGTCAACTGCCCGTTCTACTTCAAGATCGGAGCTTGCCGGCATGGCGACCGCTGCTCCCGCCTCCACACCAAGCCCAGCATCAGCCCCACCCTCCTCCTCTCCAACATGTACCAGCACCCCGATATGCTCACCAACCCCGGCGTCGACCCCAAGGGCCAAGCCATCGACCCCCGCAAGATCCAGGACAACTTCGAGGTCACTCATTTCTCTCTCTCTCTCTCTTCCCCCCCCCCCCCCCCAAAAAAAAAAAAAATATCTATACATATGTTTTGGTTTGAATCGGAATTGGATTTTCGTTTCGAATGCAGGATTTTTATGAGGATCTGTTTGAGGAGCTGAGCAAGTACGGACAGATCGAGAGCTTGAATATCTGTGACAATTTGGCTGATCACATGGTATAATATCTAGGGTTTCTGTGTCTCTTTGTTTTTGAATTTTTGATCTTTGGTGTTGGACTGATTGGTTGTGTTCATGTGTTTATGGGAGTAGGTTGGTAATGTGTACGTTCAGTTCAGGGAGGAAGACCATGCTCAAGCTGCGCTTCAGAATCTCACTGGGAGGTTCTATGCAGGTTAGTTCCCCTCCTTTATCTTATCTTGATATGTTACGGATATCATGATCGATAGTCGTGATGGTATAGTGGCTTTATCTGCCGCTGTAATATGTTCCGCCGAAGTCACTTTCCTGTCTTTTGATTGATTCATGATCGGTAGATGTAGTGCTACATTGCAGTTCAGTGTTTATAGTTTGCACGTTATATCTGAACTTCCAACTTAGAGTCGAGCTATAAAAGCGGACCGGGTTTATTTCGAATTTTTGATTGTTTCAATTTTAAACATGCTGTCTATCAGGGCTGGCCTTGAGACTGTTGGATTTCGGGTGAAAGTAAATTGTGCAGTCACACAATCTCACATAAGAAATTTCTATTTGTATGTTGTTAGAAGACTACTTATTTTATAGATTTGCAATCATTTGAGTGAGTTACTCAAATTTCAATTTGTAATGGTGTTGCATAATTATTTCCTGGCTTGGCATTATCGTAAACTATGACAGTTACGTAAATACGATTAATTAATAAATCTGGTTTCAGGTCTTTAGGTATTGAGATTCAAAGTTTCAGACCATGTCCAATTTAGCCCAAGTGGGTTGGAACGGCCGAATTAGGTTTTCTGAGCTACAAGCATTGTACTTTGGTCCGTCTTTTACTCATCTTAGATTATGATTTGATGAACTACATTTTGTTCAGGTAATTCATAGTTATCCACCGATATGTGTATTTTGGCTGTACTCTTGTTTTTCCTTTAATTGGACTGATCTTGAATTGATGCTTATCTATTACAGAGACGGATTGGTTCTTATATGTGCACCCGTGTCTAGTTCTATGTTTATTTTTCTGGTTCAAACATACTTTATTCATCTTTATATCTAGGCCGAAAGGGGGAGTGTCCATTGGCCATAAGGTTTACCCATTAGTAGATTACAAAATTTACTTTAAAAAAGAAGAAATAAAGGTTAAGAATGTTGTTATTACGTAATGGTTTGTAGATGATTCATACATCAACTATAAAACTTGATCCGTAGAAATGACCGCATGGTTGTCTTATAGTTGTTGGACCATTAAACGAGAGCACACATATTTAATTCCTCAGTAACTTGTGACACTGTTAATCATTACAACCACTTGCAAGTTAATGTAATGAAGCTTTATCCTCAAAATTATATCGGTAGGGTTCCGGTCAATTTGAGTTACTTTTAATTGTACATATTGGAATCAGGAGAGTTTCAATATTTTTTGTCGGTCGGGTGTGTGGGGTGGTGGCCACTCCTATTATTCCTGATCTTTTTATTGTTCTTTCTTTACAATGATAGTACTATTGGTAGTAGTAGGGTTACTGCTATCATGCAATTGCTAACGTTTTGGTAATATGATGAATGTTAAACATTCTAGGGCGTCCCATCATTGTCGACTTTTCCCCGGTGACGGATTTTCGTGAAGCTACCTGTAGGCAGTATGAAGAAAATGTATGCAATCGAGGTGGCTACTGCAACTTCATGCACTTGAAGAAAATTAGCAGGTGAGATGGTGCTTTTCTCATGTTTTGCAAACTGCATGATTTTCATTAAGACTTGTTTGTTTATAGCACATAATTTTGTCAATTTTTAGGGAGTTGAGGAGGCGGTTATTTGGGAGAAACAAGCGAAGGCATAGTCGCAGTCGAAGCAGAAGCCGCAGTCCTCAAAGGCATCAACGTGGTGGTTATCAGGAGCGCCCACATGGAGGTCGTGGTTTTGGTAGAAGAGGAGAAGATGAGAGGGATCATCGTTTCAATGATAAAAGCAGGAGGCCTAGAAGCCGTAGTCCTGGGCGTAGAGGAAGAAGTAGAAGCCCTGTGGGCTCTGGGCGAAGGAGGAGTCCTCCAGCCAGAGAAAGTAGTGCTGAAAGAAGGGCTAAGATCGAACAATGGAACAAGGAGAGGGAACAGGTGGATTCTGGAAATAAGTATGATGACAATAATAACAGCAACAATCATGATGATCAATGGGATGGTTCTGCAGAGAACAATGATCAATACTTCAACGACCCTCAGCAGCACCAACACAAGTAGTAGCATGATAGATACAAAGTCGAGCTACTTGCTTCCAAGATCAAGACTCAGTTATCTCAAGCAGCTTACCGTGTTACTTGTATACAAGTTGGCTGTTGTCCAAGAACTATGTCCAGTATTCGGTGTGAAGCGTTTTGCAGGCAGTAAGGTAATTTCTCGATCCTGGTTTAGGAGTCTGCCGCTTGCAATGGTGAGTTTTTATCATAGGAAACATGCTAGTGTACGGGAAGTAAGAGACATGAATGTTTACTGGAATTGAGATATTCTCTGAGATGTCTTATTAAGTTCTTCACCTATGTTGTTAGAATCGTTAGCGTGATCTTTTGTTGCTGCTTTTGCTAATTCGGGTGGTGCTAATATACTATTATTTCCGTAAGTTCCTGTCTTCATATTTTCGTAGGTGGTAGGCGTGCTGATAGTTTGTTTTCCGGAGCAACTCCTGGGTTCCTGTGAAAACAGGATTACCAGCACCAGCCAAGTCATTGCGAATGTGGCTCCTTGCTTAACGGTACGCGGTAAAAATTTTGTCGAAACTGCGTAGCTTTTTCACCGGCGGGAGCGAATTAGCTAATGAACCGTACCGAGTAAACCTTTCTCCAATTCTCGACATTTTAAGATGGAAACTCGAATTTTCGGATTGGATACTGGAAACCTGTGACCGAGAGAATGAAACTCCGATCGTTAAAAGTTCGGATCCTAAAACTCGAGATTTCATCAATCCTTTGAAGCTCGGACGCTTGTAGGTTCGACTGGTGTTCGACCGTGTAGGGCAGTACGGACTGGCGTTCCCAATTTTGGGGAAAGGATCCTCTCCGGACCCAAACCCACCGGATCCTCTAGATCCTTCTTTGAAGGCGTCGTCGGCCTTCCCGGAGTCGGCGTCGTGCTTCCCCGGAGTTGGCTTCGTGATCAAGCTTCTTCTCAAGCTTCCCATGTTTTATTTTCTTTTTCGATTGGTGTTCTCAGATGTTTAACAATGGAAGAGAGAGAGAGAGAGAGAGAGAGAGAGAGAGAAATAATACAATTTGTGGGCTTAAATTAGACCAGCCAACTCCGAGGAAGCACGACGCTGACTCCGGGAAGGCCGATGGCGCCGACTTGGCCTTCAAAGAAGAAGATCTGGAGGATCCTGTGGGTTTGAGTCCGGCGAGGATCCTCTCCCCCAATTTTGATCTTGCTAAAACAAGAAACTCCCTTTGGTACAGCAGGCGTGCGCCACGGCTTCCAAGTCTCGGAATCTTCCTTATTGCACACAAATGTGCAAAAAATATCCACTAAACATTCCATTACAATTCTAACAATGTATCACGAAATTAAGTGTTGGTTTGGTATTACTGTGTTTTGAAAAAAAAGTGAGAATAAGCAGTTGTAAGAAAAAACAGTTAAGTGTATGGTAAACAACGAAAGCAACATGTGAAGGAAAAAGCTAACAGTGACACTTACATTCAGAAACAATGTACCAAGTGTCACTCACTTTTCAAAAATAGTACAGTAAGTATATCTTTTTGTAAGAGTGCTTAAGAGTAGAAGTGCTTTCCATAAAAGCGATCATTTGCCATTGTAATTATTTAGCATTCTAACAGACATTCAACATTCCATCAACTTAAAATTTAACATCCTAACAATCTAATCACGTTAAAGGTTGATATCAATACATGTGATGATACATAATAGTAAAGGGGTGATAACCAACAACAAAATTTCAAGTGAAAAAATTAATAACTAACAATTTTTCTATGCAGTTCGAAATTTATTTTATTTTAAGTCAAAAACCTAGTTCGGTTTAACATGATTTCTGAATAAGCCGAATCAAACCGAACCAAACCAAACATATTGCATTTTAGTCCAGGTTTACATTTTGAGTGGAAATTTAATCCCAAACCGGTCGAATAACGGTTTAACATATAGAGTACTTTTTTTCGATTTTCTTTGTATTTGGCTATTTGCTTTCTGTAGCCTTCTTCATTGAAACTGTTCCTAACTTTCAATTAACTGCCATTTCAACAATTAGACAATTTATAACCGTCCTTTCTCATACACACGTGAATCCGCAATGGAAGTTTGACTTCCCGGGGAGGAGCTCGACACCCCCGGGGACCGTCAATAACAGCAAGCTGAGGACTTGCGCTAACAAAAGCAAAGCCGCTTATGGGCCAAGGCCCCTAACAGCTTCCTAACGAAAAAACCATTTCTTGGTAAGAAACGAAAGTGACAAGCAGCTACGTAAAATGCGCAACAGTTCCTCACAACGTCTCAAATTCGAAAACCATAGAATTCAAAATAGTTGTAGCAAGATGCCTCCCAGATCAACTGCAAAAGTTTGTCATCCACGCCGGTTCAAACAGAACCAGTTAAGTTAGTAACGAATAATACGCTAATATCTCCGTTATCTTACCAAACCTACTTCTTTCTTCTCATGAATCCCAAAACATCAAGATGGTGGAGGCTGGAGACTAATCTGCCCTTCACTTTGCAGCACTGTGCTTTGCCTTCGTATGGCTTTGCAACGCACCATCGGAGTTAAACGACCTGCGTGAAGCCCAGCACAAGAAATTACAATTCCGTTTACGCAGAGACAGAAACTATCAAGAATGGAACTTTTTCAAAAAATAAAACAAAATTACCTGTTGCAGGGTTGGCAATGGAAGGCACCGCTTGGTTTAGGAGCCTGTTGCTTTGACTGATCGGAAGTAGCTGGTTTTTTCCCAGTCTGCTTTGAAGGGTGAGGAGTTGCGGTGTGGACGCTGCCTTTCTTGCTACCTGCACGGACAATTAACAGTCAATTAAACATCTCCATTTCAGAATTGTCGCTAACCGGTAATATATAACATATTCAATTGAAATGATACAAATGTCGTCAGCATATTCCACCACAAATCCATGTTTACACGTTTAAATTTATGAAAAACTTTGTAATATGTGTCTTCCACAGCAAACATCAAAATGTTTAAAACGGTAACAGCATAAAAAAATTGCATCGGAAGACAAAGAACTGACCAGTCTTTTCAGGAGTAACGAACTTTGGCTTCTTGTCATTAGCAGGTGTTTTAGTAGACTCAGCAGGTCGCTTCTTGCCAACATCAGCCTTGACAACAAATAAGACAAATACATTTACTTAGCAATAATAATTTGATAATGATAACAACACAGAAGGGATATCAGCACTCTCCAACATCAAAAACTAAAGGCGTTGATAATAGGAGTACTATCACCTTCTTCGGAGTCTCTTCATCCTCATCACTGTCATCAGTTTCATCGTCACTATCAGAATCATCATCACTTTCGTCAAAATCTTCACCACTATCTCCCTTAGCCAAGGGCTGTAAAACAACTCAGGCAGGAAGATATATTCAGTACTCTAGTCTCCGAATAATAATTCAGTAATCAGTTTCAAATGCAAGAAGTTGATCATTCCAGAGTGCTGTAAACAGAATATTATGGCATGAATGCCAATTCAATGTTTTAAATGTTTTAAATGTCAAACTACTAGTAGTCACAACTAAGTAATTATTTCCAAACCCCAGGATCTATATTTCTAAAAGTAACACCTAAATAAAGCGCTTTCTGTTCAGATTTGTTATGGAACACCACTATTAAATATACCTAAACTACAGAGATGACGGGCAAAGAAATGTTTGATTCAGATGTGCTTTTATCAGTTAACCATGGTAGGTAAGGTACCTTAGACATTCACATATGGTAAAATATTTCAGTTGCTGAAAAGGAAATTCAAACAGAATTGAAAGATGTGAATACCTGATCACCAAACTCTTCATCGTCAGATTCATCATCATCATCGCTACTAGCTTCCTTTTGCTCAGATATACTAGGTTTCTTGGCTACCTCAGTACCATTCACCTTTGCCTTTCCTGTAAGACAACTCATTCCAAATCACAATATAAAGTTATTGAAAAGAAAAATAAAACTCAAATCCCAGTTATAAAAAAATGAATTAGCAAATCTTTACCCTTATCAACCAGAGTAGGTGCCCTAATAGGTGGTGCATCCTCCTCTTCAGAATCTAGACAAAAAAACATATCAACTGCTTAAGAATCAAATGCGCTTGGAAGTTAGAACTATGATAGAACCAAATATCATAACAGTGACTCACCGGACTCCTCATTAGTGAAAAGGAAACATAATACAGTCAAGGAGATGACAAATAATTTAACGATCAAGAAAATAATATAAGAATTGAGTACAATGTAAGACACACCATTTAAACATGAAATGACATTAACAAAAAGGATATCCCAAAGACTTGTATCCAGTGAAGTGGACGCTCCCATTTTTCCAGTTATGGGATAGCTCAAATTTCTCATCAAACACAATATCAAACATTAACTGCGGGTATTTATCAGCAGAAAGAAATCCAAGGGCAAGCTTCTGATTGCCAATTTTCGCAAAGAGTGAAATAGGATCGCTTCCCTTCGCTTTCTTAAGGTCATCAAGACAACCCTGCATTACGAAAATAATTTTTACACCAATTTTCGCAATATATTAAAGGCAAAAGAAACAGAAAAATGAAAAATTAATGGTCACAAAATTTTACGGCTCGCTGAGTACCTGTGAAAGGTGCAGGAGCTTTTTACCAGGTTCAACAACAAGAGACTGACCACTTTTTACCTCAGCACCTGGACATTGAGTCACAATAAGTAGTAATTAATAACTGCAAATTTGAAAGCACAGAAAATAAAAAAGGGCCGGAAACTGATGTGGCAAGTTTCAGAATGAATACAAGACATCAAAGTTCTGTTTCAAACAGTGAAAACCGTATCATTTAGTGACAAGCATGCTGAACACGAAAAAGATGCCTAGTTTCCAAAATAAGAAAAAATCAAAATCATTTAAATGCAAGCTTGTGTACTTTTCAATACCCCATTTATAATATATTAAAATTAAATATGGAAGGGAAAAAACGTAAACAAGATTCCTGAATCACATCAATCCAATGCAAAAACAATTATGGAAAAAACACAGACGAGATTCCTAAACAGATAACAAAGCATCTTTAACATATATCACATACAATTGTATTCACCACAAGCACATTACATTGGTTCAAAACGAAATACAATGATTATAATTTTGTTACCATAACATCTACATGTACAAAGAATTAACACGAACGTGCATTTACAAGACTAAACATATTTTCCATTTATTTTCTCAGCAAACAAACAGAGTGAAGTAAGTTCTAAATAAGCAACATGAAGCCAGAAAAATACTTACCAAAACATTTTAAAAAGAAAAAAAAGCTCAAAACCCTAAGGGTTGGTTTGGTATTTCTGTGCTTTGAAAAAAAATTACTTCTGCTGTGCTGTGAGAATAAGCTGCTGTGCTGTGAGAATAAGCGGCAGAGTGTTTGGTAAACCTTTTTATAAAAGTGCTTTTGAAAAAAAAAAGCAGTATTATAGTGTTTGGTAAATTTTTATGTAAAACAGATGTGAAAAAAAACCGGTTTTTCAAAGCTGGGTTTTGCAGCTTCTTGTTTTTGGCTTTTTTTCATCCACAACTGTGAAAAAAAACTGAAGCTGAATGTTTATCAAACACAAAAACAGCTCCCAGTTTTTTTTTATACCAGTTTTTTTCAGAATTATCTCAGTTCCAAACCAAGCCTAAGTCAAGCACAATGAAAATTTAACCAGACTAAGCCCTATGGAAATTTAACCATACTAGTCCTTCCATTTTCCCTAGTTTTCTCGGCAATCAAGCAGCAAAAATGTTTCGTACAGAAAAACCCTAACAAATCAACAATCAAACAAATAAGGATTTGTTTGGTACCCTACTTGAATCCACCTTTTTAAAGTAAAAAACAATTTTCAAGTTTTATGCCTTAAAAACCTGTTTGGTAGAACTATTTTCAAAACTTGAACTCAAGACTAACTCAAAAATATAATCTATTATCTAAAAACACTAAAAATGAGTTTTTAGAGTTTTTAAACTTAAACACACTCATTTCTTTTCTCTCTCTTTCCTTCCCATTCCAAATCTCTCTCTTCTCTTTTTTTATTATCCTTTCTCTCTCCTTCAATCTGCTCTCTTCGTTCTTTCCATTCTCTCTCACTCATCTTCGTCTTTTCTTCAATCATCTCTTAATCTCTTTCCTAGTCTCCCCTCTTTCTCCCCTCCTCTTTTTAGATCTCTTTGTCTAATTTAAATACTAAAATTCAAAATTTTTAAACCGCAAACCAATTAATTTTTTAACTCTTAAAGAAAATTGTTTTTAAGAAATATTCTTAAGAAATGTTTTGAAATTTTTTTTCAAATAGGATATCAGGCCCTAATATTTTCAGTTATTTTCTCAGCAAACCAGCACAGTAAATTAATTTCTAAATGAAGAATATGGAGCCAGAAAAATACTAGAATAAATATAATTTAAAAAAAATAAACTTCCGACGAGCTTATACCGACAGCATCAAAACTTAACCAGACTAGAACCCTCATTTTCTCGGCAACCAAACGGCGAAAATGTTAGAAATAAAAATGCAAAATCAGCAACGAGAAAACAAAACCCCAACATATCAAACGATCAGGAAGCGAGAGGGGTTTTCAAAATTACACACAGAGAGAGAGAGAGAGAGAGAGAGAGAGAGAGAGGAATACCCCAAAACTCCACTGCTTGCTAGTGCTAGGTTTTCTAGAAGGCTCTGCAGAATTTCAATTTCGAATTCTCGGTTTCTTTTTTGGTTACAATTTTAATCTTGAGGAACGAGGCGGATCATTTTATATGGAGTCTCCACAGTAAGACGCAGTGAGGAAGTGACACGTGTCAATAGTCTCACGCCCGCTCGGTTGGGCAGCCCAGAAGGTGTCTTTTGGACATCCAGTTTTTATTTGACAAATCAGGCCCAAAATCTAACAGGAAGCAACCCAAGAGCCCAAGCCGATATATTTGGCAGCCTCACTAATAAATTTACGAAAAAAATGATTTCCGCACACAAATTTATTGCTTTGGCTCTTATTTTTACTTTATGTCTTAATCGTATATTTATTTTTTAAAATTTAGAGATCACAAATAAATAAATAAAAGTGTAAATATAGAAAATAAATGTGCGGAAATCACTTTTTTCTTTTCTGATAAGAAGGATTTAGGGGACGAGATCAATGCAGAATGCAATAGAGCGTTCGAATTACCTTGTGGCTTGCTTGAAAGAGCGAGACTAATAGCAAGCGATCAGGACTTGGGAGAAAAACTCCCCCACATCGTGTATACTGTATATCCCCTCTTATCTCACTCATAGCATGGTTGGTTGATGAGTGAGACGGAAAGAGGGATATAAACGCTTCGCACATGTAAGTGTTTCTTGAGACTTAGAGGCCAATTGCAACTATCAAATATTGTGAGCAATACTAAAAAGATTCTAAAAATGCCTCAACATCAAAGTAAGCAAACTTTTAATTTCGTAAATACCTTTATTTTCTAGGCAAACAAACATAAAGTACAAGCTTTTGGAAGAAAATGGTTAAAAATAATACAATGGAAATTGCAAATTATACAAGAATGTGATCCTTTGAACAAAGGTCAATTTGTAGAAGGAATTTCTAATGGCTACAACAAATAGTAAAATCATCTTAACTTCTTCATGGATTCATTCAACACATTTCACATAAAGAATTAGAGGAGCAGGATAAATATGAACTTTAATAACGAATCTCAAACTTCAAATAGAGTACGCCAGTCGACAGCTACCGATTCTTTCTAAGTCGCTGTTTTCTTCGTTGATTCCTTCACGAACTCATCCTTCTCGTTCAACCACAGGTCTGCAAACTCGCAATGCTTCCAAGCCTCAAACCACGGTCCTCCACGAGTGTAGTGTACAGCCTTGGGTTGTGTATGGGGATCATTTTCGACAACCTTGTTATGTCCCTCAAGAAAATTCCATACAAATGGGATCGACCCGATTTCATTGTCCTCGAGCCACTGAAACCTATGAAGAAAAGCACCCGTTTCCTTATTCACAACCTCAGGTGTCAAGACCTTGTTTTTGGGATGCCCACAGTTATACAACACCATGGAAGACCAGTTCTTCCTCGGATACACGGTTTGCACTGCTCCATCCATTTTTGTTGTCTCCTTTGGGGTATAATCATGTTGAACACACATTATAGCATACTTATCGTCAATCAAGTCTCGCAGCTCCTTAATGTCAGCAAGGTAAAGAAAATCACAATCCACAAACATTGCCCAGCCTTCATAACTCGCCAAATGTGGAGTCAAGAACCGGGAAAAAGAGAACTCGGTGCTTTCAAATTGCCCTCGTTCACGCCAATAGAGGCCCTCCTTTCGCAGCTCTGATTGTTTGATTGGTATGATCTCAACAGGGATTGAAGACCGCTTCAAAATTGAATGGCGACAGACCTCGTATGCGAGATCTTCACGCGGATCATAACCCACAAAGATCTTAAGGGGATTTTCCTTAATGTTGCCATTAGAAGTCACTTGATGAATCTTCCCATCACTCGAACCCATCTTAGCTGATACTGCAAAGGATTATTCAGACAATGTGTTTACAAATAAACAATGAAAATCGTTCCTTTATCCGACGGATATAGGATTTTCATGGCAAGGAATAAACCATGGATTACAAATTTACAAGACAAATTTTCTAAAATCCAAGCAGGGAAATGACCGATTTATACAAATACCGAATTTTAACTAGTCGATTAATTGCTGAACAAGGAAAAGATTATTCCAATTGACATGAGCTGCCACCAAGGCATACAATTCACAGATCTGAATTGAAATTCAAAGACAATAACAAAGGGGTTGTTCTTATTTACTAGTTCGAGATCTTAGACATCACAAACAACAAGAACACTAGTGTGTTAGTAAGACCACTGTTTGGTTACCAAGAAAATGAAGGAAAATTGTGGATCTTAACACTTTCTGCTGCAATGGGTCAATTATTCATTTCCAAAAATATGCAATTCTAGTTTCTGAGTCTCAATTAGCAAAAATCCTGCATTTAATTCCTTAATTTGCCATCATTTTCAGTTAAATTAAACCAAAAACCAAAAAAAACAAAAAAAAATACAAAATTCTGGGTTCTACGTAATATAAAAATGTAAAACAAATGTGAGTTTATCAGCATAAATCCACGACCAAAGATATTCATACAAGAAATTCAGAAAACCCCAATTTTTGGGTTTTGGAGAAAATGCAGAAACATAAACACGGAAGCTAAATCGTAATCACCATAAACCCAGAAACACACACAAAGTTGCAGAACTAGAGAGAGAAGGAGCAGTACCAAGAGAGTGTAATCGGCGCAGATCTTGCTGTTAATGCGGTGGTGGTGCTTGGTTTTCCTTTTCTTTTCCTTTCTTGAACTTTCCGGGAAAATGTATAAGCGAGGATGAGATATTTTCAATTCAATGGCAGAGAAAGAGAGAATTGAGCGAAGAAGCGACAATTCAGCGGCAGCGGAGTGAGTGGATGAAATCTGATTTGTGCACATATATATAGGGAGGGAGATTACATCATATGAGAGAGAGAGAGAGAGAGAGATAACGAGATCTAGGCCAGGCATTCCAAAATTGGTAATTTCATCACGTCATTTATTAGGTTGACCATTTGACATCGACTTCGAAAATAATTTACATGCTACGAGTATAATAATATTGTAATATTTAATAAAATTACCACTGAACCATTATTGTCGCATTCTGTATAATGATTAGGCCTGGCAATTTCTGACACGACCCGATAACCCGACACGACACGACACGAAATTAACAGGTGTTTGGGTCGACACGATAACGAATCGGGTCTTATCGGGTAACCCGATAAGCACCTGTTAAGATAACGGGTCGGGTCGGGTATACACGTGGGTAAACACGATACACGATAAGCAAAATATTATTTTTATAATTTTATAACCCCTAAAAAAATATTGTAATAATTATATACATTAATTTTACAATTTTATACCCCTAAAAATTATAATAAATATATATATATATATTAAATTAACTATAAAATTTATAATAATTATAATAATTATATATACTATAATAATTATACCCCCAAAATATTAAGTCTATCTATACTAATTATATTATATATATATATATATATATATTAAATTTTATAAAAATTATAATGCATATGAATTAATAATTTAATATGCATGATCATGCATTTGCCAACTTGCCGTCCTTTTTGGAAAAAAAAATGGAGGGAAAATGAAAATGTTAAGAAAAGTTGAAAATAAAACAAAAAAGTGAGGGAATTAGGGAAAGATGTTGGAGGGAAAAGTGAAAATGATAAGAAAAAGTTGAAAAGGAAACAAAAAAGAGAGGGAAAAATGAAAATTAATAGAAGTGGTGAGAAATTTTTTTTTTTTTTAAGTTATTAACTTTTTATCACACACATGACTGTCATGACATATCTCACTATTTTTATAATGAACACGTGACACGTGATGTATGTACTATTCCGTGTACCAGTCAATTATAATTTATACGTACAAAATAAATAGATTTAAATCTACTTAATAAATATATACACACACACACACACACACACACGGAACTTGATTGATGGCATACGAATTCTCCAAAACTAATTTCAACGATCCAAACCGTCAAAATTGTTTGTATATGCTTGGAGATCATATCAGCAAAAAATCACAAAAAAAAAACATTCAGAGATCAAGTAACGGGACAAAGCTTTTCAACGGTTATAAACGAAAAATCACGATTTAACGGTTATTTTAACTCCGATTTTGATAATTTTTTATAACTACACTTCTTGACCCTATATGAATACAATGAATGAATTCGATCTTCAATTTAAAATATTTACACAAGTGGATACCACAAAATCTTATGTTATACTTAATAAAAGTATAAATAAACTCTAAGTGTTAGTCAATCTATCGTTTTACGAATTCTCCAAAACTAATTTCAACGATCCAAACCGTCAAAATTGTTTGTATATGCTTGGAGATCACATCAGCAAAAAATCACAAAAAAAAACATTCAAAGATCAAGTAACGGGACAAAGCTTTTCAACGGTTATAAACGAAAAATCACGATTTAACGGTTATTTTAACTCCGATTTTGATGATTTTTTATAACTATACTCCTTGACCCTATATGAATATAATGAATGAATTCGATCTTCAATTTAAAATATTTACACAAGTGGATACCACAAAATCTTATGTTATACTTAATAAAAGTATAAATAAACTCTAAGTGTTAGTCAATCTATCGTTTTACGAATTCTCCAAAACTAATTTCAACGATCCAAACCGTCAAAATTGTTTGTATATGCTTGGAGATCACATCAGCAAAAAATCACAAAAAAAAACATTCAAAGATCAAGTAACGGGACAAAGCTTTTCAACGGTTATAAACGAAAAATCACGATTTAACGGTTATTTTAACTCCGATTTTGATGATTTTTTATAACTACACTCCTTGACCCTATATGAATACAATGAATGAATTCGATCTTCAATTTAAAATATTTACACAAGTGGATACCACAAAATCTTATATTATACTTAATAAAAGTATAAATAAACTCTAAGTGTTAGTCAATCTATCATTTTACGAATTCTCCAAAACTAATTTCAACGATCAAAACCATCAAAATTGTTTGTATATGCTTGGAGATCACATCAGCAAAAAATCACAAAAAAAAAACTTTCAGAGATCAAGTAACGGGACAAAGCTTTTCGACGGTTATAAACGAAAAATCAAGATTTAACGGTTATTTTAACTCCGATTTTGATGATTTTTTATAACTACACTCCTTGACCCTATATGAATACAATGAATGAATTCGATCTTCAATTTAAAATATTTACACAAGTGGATACCACAAAATCTTATGTTATACTTAATAAAAGTATAAATAAACTCTAAGTGTTAGTCAATCTATCATTTTACGAATTCTCCAAAACTAATTTCAACGATCAAAACCGTCAAAATTGTTTGTATATGCTTGGAGATCACATCAGCAAAAAATCACAAAAAAAAAACATTCAGAGATCAAGTAACGGGACAAAGCTTTTCGACGGTTATAAACGAAAAATCAAGATTTAACGGTTATTTTAACTCCGATTTTGATGATTTTTTATAACTACACTCCTTGACCCTATATGAATACAATGAATGAATTCGATCTTCAATTTAAAATATTTACACAAGTGGATACAACAAATCTTATGTTATACTTAATAAAAGTATAAATAAACTCTAAGTGTTAGTCAATCTATCGTTTTACGAATTCTCCAAAACTAATTTCAACGATCCAAACCGTCAAAATTGTTTGTATATGCTTGGAGATCACATCAGCAAAAAATCACAAAAAAAAAAACATTCAAAGATCAAGTAACGGGACAAAGCTTTTCAACGGTTATAAACGAAAAATCACGATTTAACGGTTATTTTAACTCCGATTTTGATGATTTTTTATAACTACACTCCTTGACCCTATATGAATATAATGAATGAATTCGATCTTCAATTTAAAATATTTACACAAGTGGATGCCACAAAATCTTATGTTATACTTAATAAAAGTATAAATAAACTCTAAGTGTTAGTCAATCTATCGTTTTACGAATTCTCCAAAACTAATTTCAACGATCCAAACCGTCAAAATTGTTTGTATATGCTTGGAGATCACATCAGCAAAAAATCACAAAAAAAAAACATTCAAAGATCAAGTAACAGGACAAAGCTTTTCAACGGTTATAAACGAAAAATCACGATTTAACGGTTATTTTAACTCCGATTTTGATGATTTTTTATAACTATACTCCTTGACCCTATATGAATATAATGAATGAATTCGATCTTCAATTTAAAATATTTACACAAGTGGATACCACAAAATCTTATGTTATACTTAATAAAAGTATAAATAAACTCTAAGTGTTAGTCAATCAATCATTTTACGAATTCTCCAAAACTAATTTCAACGATCAAAACCGTCAAAATTGTTTGTATATGCTTGGAGATCACATCAGTAAAAAATCACAAAAAAAAAACATTCAGAGATCAAGTAACGGGACAAAGCTTTTCGACGGTTATAAACGAAAAATCAAGATTTAACGGTTATTTTAACTCCGATTTTGATGATTTTTTTTAACTACACTCCTTGACCCTATATGAATACAATGAATGAATTCGATCTTCAATTTAAAATATTTATACTAGTGGAATTTATATACTTAATAAAAGTATGAATCAACTATCATATTAATAATTATATACATTAATTTAATAATTTTATGCAGAAGAGAGTTCTGACGTGGAAAATCTTACTGAAAACATCTTCAACATAACTCTTGAAGGCAATAGATCAAGCCAAAGTTCCAATATAATTTCATGATGTTCGATGTAAATTGAAGATTTTGTAAATGGAGGTGTAAACTTTTAAGAAAGACTTACAATCTTAAAAACAAAAACTCTTTATCCTTGCACATTTAATATTTGTAATAGATTAGTAGTGTATGTATTATTTTTTTTATTAGGCTTTCATTTTCGAGTGTAGATATAGTACTTGAACGAGAAATGTTTTAATGTTTTCAAGTAATATTTATGTCGCAATGTGTGGTATGTGCAAATTGTAAAAAAATATATTTTTTTCTTAACGGGTCATAACGGGTCATAACGGGTCGGGTCACTTTACCCGTTGGGTAAAGTGACACGACCTGTTAAGGACCCGTTAAGATAACGGGTGTGACACGACACGACCCGTTAAGATAACAGGTGTTACACGAAAACGACACGAACACGACAGACACGACCCGTTTGCCAGGCCTAATAATGATACAAAGATATATGAAAATTTAAGTTGTCATAATATGGATATTAAACGTCGCGATAAAAATGTATGTAAGTTGTTCTCCTCGCTCTAAAGGTCACCGCTATTTGGTGGGCGGGGGTTACCGCGTATAACAGTTGGCAACTGTAAACCTTTTTCCTAAAAGGTGTATTTTGATGGATTTCGTACATGGTTACAAACGAAACTATTTGCTAGAAGAAGGTAGCCCATGGTGTCATTGCCCATTTCCTACCATACCATGTTGGCCCGCCCACAATCTTGAGTGACTTAGTTACCATTGCAGTGGCAAAAATTAACCATGTTAATACATTTCTGCAGATTCTATATCTACCGATTCTTCTTTTTCAAAACAACTAACTATTTAATCCATTAATGTTCACTCTATTAATTAGGTGGTGCTATACACACACTTATTTTTACCTTACACACTATCTTTGTTAATTTATGTCTTTAGATCTTTTTTAGTTTATTCGATCTGACGATCAAAAATTGAGAGAGATGTGTGAGAAATAAAACGAGATGTAGCACCACCCTATATTTAAACCAGTTTTTTTTTTTTTTTCCTCAAATTTTCAAAATTTATTTAGTTGATCTCAATTTGTTTTTATGAAATGTGACTTAAAAATATTCAAATTCTGACAAAGCAAATCACATAATTAACTCATTCCAACACAAACTAGCCATACTGCAACCTCTTCCTGCACACAACAACCACACTCCACACACGCACCAAACACGCTATACACACTCCAAGCACTTCACAAGGTTGTTTCAAAAGGCTTCAAAGTCTAAAGCCTTTCCAGAAGAGCACAAATATTTAAAGTATGATCGCTAAATTTATTGGGGAGGAACTAGATGCAGCCTTTGATTCTGTTTCTGGCCATCACAGCGCCGAAACCCCCTTCATTTGGCAGCGTTTATTCCGGCTTTCGGCACGTAATCACTGCATACTTGATTAGATCCTTCTTGAATCCTTGGATCATTAGTGGCATTACCAATGCTCCTCTGATTGTTTTTATTCCTGATCAATTCAAATCAAGAAACACAGTTACACTGGGTTTTTCGACCAAAAACAATCAACGAACACAATTGTATAGATTGAAAAATGAAAGCTGAGACTGTTTCTGCAACTAGAGACATAAACACGTAGAAATCAAACAATGTAGTACGAAATGTGCATCTTTTCCCACTAAAGAAAAGTTTGGCATTGAAAAGTTTGGAAGAAACGCTAAGTTTATACCGGTGCGCAACAGCGATGTAAAACCCTTCCATGTCAATGCCGAGCGGATAACTGCAGGCCAAAATGGGGTAACATACGGGGACCAATCTTCTACCTTGATGTCCTGCCAAGGAAGGTTTCAGATGTTATTGCAGGTTGATGTAAAGACACCAAGTTGTTAACTCAAAAAGATTGGACTTAGTCCAGCCAATATTTGAGCGGGAAGTGATTTCCGCACACCCTTTTTCTCCCCTTGCACCCGCTTGTTTATATTGATCTGCGAAAATCATTCCTCTATTTGAGCAAGTAATTTACCTCGAGCGAATGGGACTCGAGTAATTTGAGATAATCAACAGCGGAACACCAGGCTGGCAGATAGAAAGAACTACATATCCTGTCCAGGAGGCGTTTCTCATCTGGCTTCAAGGTTGTTTCAGAAGCACCAAGATCCCTATGGCACCATGTGACCATTATTATTGTTGCTCATGGTGCAGCAACTCGAACCATCTCATTCACAAACTGCACAGTTTTAAGAAGAGCGAAAAAGAATATTAAGGCAAGTATTTATACAAAGAGTTTTAATAGTGTATTTCAACGTTGTAGTTGTACTTGCTACGAAATACGACATATCAAACAGTCATATTTACAACACATCGACAATTGTAAATCCACATTATCAACAATATTAAAGACATCGATATCATATTTGACAACATATCAACAACATGTCCGCATTCAAAAAGTGCAATTAACCGCAATGTAGAATTTTTATACAAATCATGCTCTACTATCAATCAGTTTAGTCGAGAAAGAGGTATACCTTGGCTTTGTCAGGCATGTGCTCTCCACTCTCCATGGACCATACCAGATCAAATTCCCCATCAGGAAATGGTTGGTTCAGAGCATCTGCAACTTGAAATGAGGCCTGCAAATGATGGACAAAAGTTCCCTTCATGTAATTCAGTCACGCAAACGGTAGGTGGTAAAAGCTTTTGATGTTGTAACTTTTGAAAGAGCTAAAAGTGTTTTTTTGACAACCAAAAGTATTTGTGACATGTTTGGCTAAAAAACTTTAAAATGTTTCTGCGATCCAGAAACATTTTTTGAGGCACTTTTTTAAAAAGCACTCATGTAACGACCCAGCCCCAAAATTTAAGGTTTTTAGAATTTTTTTTTTTAACATGAATTTACAAAAATGCCCTTTGAGACAAAGATGTTGACTTTTGTTGACCGTCTTGTCGTGTCACATAAGAATCATTTTCTTGGTGTATTTGGATAATACTCGTCGCTACGAATGCGTAGGTGTAAACGGAACGTGATTTGGAGTTATAACAAAGAAGTTATGGGCGAGTAAAAATAGGGACAAAATAGTCATTTAAATATTTTGTAAAAGGCTCCAGATTTTTGGAGCAAAATCTGGAAAGCTATGTGTGTGGCCTAAATTGAAGGAAATGAGAAATGGACGGATGGGAGAGAAGATAAGGGGGAAAAAGAAGAGAGAAGTAAAGACCAATCGGGAGAAGAGAGTGAAGTGAGTAACCAATGGGAAGAGAGAGCAAGGAGGGGAAAGGAGAGAGTTAAAGGGGAAGCTAATCGAACCCCTGACCCGTTTCCATGTCGTGACCCGATCTCCGACCTGGTGTTCCGCAGCTTTTCCGATGCCTTTCACGGTGTTTTCCTAGCTTTTCACGGCCAACCATCACTTGTAAACATCACCACGACATCCTTGCTATGAATTCCACCCCAAACCTGACGAGATTTGGTTTCATTCTTGGAGAATAGCACCGATAGGTGCGACGGGTCTCATGGTGGCGATCCGCCATTCCTGAAGCAAACTCAACTAACCACCACCACCACCACCAATAGACTCCCCTTAACCTCGGGAACAAAGTCTATGCATTGGTTGGGGTGTCGGAGCTTGTTTGGAATCGAATTAAGAACACCTATTTCTAAGGATTTTGGTGGTTCTTGGCGTTTTCAAGCCACTTCCTGCCCGAATTGGACTTTGGCCCATGTATGAAAGTTGTTCCTCTCATTGAGATCTTCATTCCTATAAAATTTAGGAATTTTTGGAAATCTTGGATTTTTCGGCAGGTCGGGGCTGCCATCGTTGGGGAAAAACCCGAGGTCTTTCCTTAGGTTTCTCGACGTGCCAAATTCGAATCAGCTATCCCTTTCCCCAAATTATAACATTTTAGTAGAGTTTTACTAAAAGGTCCTTAATTGTGTGTAGGCGCGTTGGCGGGAAGTGATCACATTCTTGATAGTTCGAGCAACTTTCGGGCAATGGAAAGCTTGTGAGTGGACCCCTTTATAACTTATATATTTTTATAAAATATTAGCCTAGCATGCATTACATATTTTATGAACAAAACATGATTTATAATATATTTTACGGATTTTCCTACTTTTGATTTAGTTAAATTGTTTTTACGTAATAATTAATTTAGCGGATTTATATATTACTAAATCTTATATCATTGGATTTTTGGTTATGAAATTCTATGGATTCACGTATATGTTTATTATGGATTCATGAATGTGATTTGCCATGAATTTATGAGATGAGGTTTGAGCTTTTGAGATTTGATGTTTGATACAAGATTTTGAAATATATTTTTAGTGCTTATCTAGTGGGTTATCATACGGCACATCCACATACCCACTACTACAAAATTGGCTTATTATGTCGGTTAGTGGTGGCGGTTTTATACTGTTACTGTCGGATAAAATATTTTCTGACAACATTTTAAAAAGTGTCGGAAAATAAAGTATTATTGTTGGTTATATTCAACAAGAATAATTAAGTGGGCCCTTAACTCCATTAGATACATTTTTTAAATAATTTTAACCAATTATGGCAGGTATATTTGACATGAGTAAGTAATGTGTCAAATCCGTCAATTATTTTCGAATTTTTTATACTAACTCTGACGGTTATAACCGACACAAATTTTTTCAAATTTTTTATACTAATTTTGACAGTTATATCCGACACAAATTGTGTCAAAATATTATATTATTGAGTGAGAGAGTTTATTTGAGATGAAGCTGCAAGTGAGCTCTCTCTCTCTTTCTCTGTGTCTCTCTCATGTGATAATTCTGCTAAAGAAAGAAACCTAATACGCAATAAAAGCTAGTGAGGATGGGATTTGGAAGCTAATGGAGAGGATCCTCCTAACTCATCATAGTGTATTGTTGGATTTTTATCCAATAGTTACAATTATTATAACTTTAAGTAGCAGTTGGATAAAAATCCAACGGCCCACGATGATGGGTCAGGAGGATCCTTTCCATTAGCTCAAGAGAGGATCCAAATCCATAAGGATGTGCCATATATGTCATATGACTGAGAGGTCAAAATATTATATTATTTTCATTTTTTTTAAACCATTACTTTTGATTAAATTTTCTTAAAAATATTATATTATATTAAACAAATAGTGATTTTATTGTTTATAATTGTCGAAATTTTGGATCCCGTTACCTAATCTGAGAAAGTTTTTTTTTTTGTAATTTTTACACATGCTATCTCGGAGTATATACAAACATATTTAACGGTTGGATTATTAAAACTAATTTCGTAGAATGCATATCCTATCAAATTGATAGATTTAACAAACACTTAAGATTTAATGTTATACTTCCATTAAGTATAAAATAAGATTTATCCACTAGTGTAAATAATTTAAATTGAAGATTGAATTCATTCATTGCATTCTTATAGGGTCGAGGAGTGTAGCTGTAAAAATTCATCAAAATCGGAGCTAAAATAACCGTTAAATTGAGATTTTTTGTTTATAACCGTCGAAAACTTTGTTCCGTTACCTAATCTATGAATGTTTGTTTTTTTCAAATTTTTACGTATGTGATCTCAGAGTGTGTACAAATAAGTTTGACGATTGAATCGTTGAAAAATGTTTCGTAGACTGCATATCGCATCAAAACGGTAGATTAAACGAATACTTTGAGTTAATGTTATACTTCTCCATCAAGTATAAAATAAGATTTTGTGGTATCCACTAGTGTAAGTATTTTAAATTGAAGATCAAATTCGTTCAATGCATTCTTATAGGGTCGAGGAGTGTCATTGTAAAAAATTATCAAAATCGGAGCTAAACTAACCATTAAATTGTGATTTTTCGTTTATAACCGTCGAAAACTTTTGTTCTGTTACCTAATCTCTAAATGTTTTTTTTTTGTTATTTTTTATGTATGTGATCTCGAAGAGTGTACAAACAAGTTTGACGGTTAGATCATTGAAAAAAGTTTCGTAGAATGTGTATCGCGTCAAAACGGTAGATTAAGTAAACACTTAAGAGTTAATGTTATACTTCCATTAAGTATAAAATAAGATTTTGTGGAATCCACTAGTGTAAATATTTTAAATTGATGATCAAATTTATTCATTGCATTCTTATAGGGTTAAGGAATGTAGCTGTAAAAAATCATTAAAATCGGAGCTAAAATAACTGTTAAATTGTGATTTTTCGTTTATAACCGTTGAAAACTTTTGTTCTGCTTCGTAATCTTTGAATGTTTGTTTTTTACGATTTTTTACATATGCAATGTCGGAGTGTGTACAAATAAGTTTGACGGTTGGATCGTTGAAAAGCGTTTCATAGAATGCGTATCGCATCAAAACGGTAGATTAAACAAACACTTAAGAGTTAATATTATACTTCCATTAAGTATAAAATAAGATTTTGTAGTATCCACTAGTGTAAATATTTTAAATTGAAGATCGAAATTATTCATTGCATTCTTATAGAGTCGAGGAGTGCAGCTATAAAAAAAAATCATCAAAACCAAAGCTACAATAACCGTTAAATTGTGATTTTTGGTTTATAAACGTCGAAAACTTTTGTTCCGTTACCTAATCTCTAAATGTTTTTTTTTTTTTTTTTTTTTTTTTACATATGCGATCTTGTAGTATCTCCAAAAAAATTTGACAGTTAGATCATTGAAACTAGTTTTGTAGAATGCATATCTCTGTTAAATCTGCCTAAATTTTAAAGTGGGAAAAGTAATTTGTGCTAAATTTTTATTTATGTTTTTCAAGTATTGATTAGACAATATTTAATTTGTGTGATGACATTTTCATTGTACAATTATCTTTTTGTTTCTTTATCGCATATTTTACATTATCTATGAAACCAAACAATTATTTATTTAATTTTTTAAAACGTGTTCAATTTAAATACATATTATTTATTTATTTATTAAACTAAAGAATTATTATTTTATTTTTTTAATTCGTAACAAAATTTTGGGGGGATTTTTGCCGCCATTTTTTTTTTCTGTCTGTTATAACTGATAGTAATGAAAATTTTATATCGATGAAAATGTTTTTGTTGGTTTTAACCGACAGTAAAAAAAAAATTTCCAAAATAAAACCCTTCCATCTCTTCTTTGCACCAGTGCCTTCTCCCTTCCCCCTTCCTTCCCCACTTTTCTCCTCTCCTTATTTCCTTCTCCTTCTCGCTTCAATCACCATGGATGAACAATTCGAGGAGCAACATTCCAAAACCCAGTACGTTTTAAATTATTTGTATTATGTTCAATTTGTGTTTTAAATTTTGATTATGTTATTAAATGGAGTTTGTATTTTGAATCTTGACTTGAGATACCTTATCAAATATTATGCATAAATTGAAAATTGGTCTTTGTTTAAAGCTTTCATGCAGGTTTCGTTTTTGTAAATATGCATCACCAATGTTTTTTTTTGTTATTAACAAGGAGCAATGCCTCAACGGAGAACTCAAAGCTGTGGAATTAGTAAAAGATTATAAACATAATTAACGAACTTATATATATATATATATGTTTTATTTTTAGTATTATTTATTCAATTATTAGTTTTGTTTATGTTTATTTAAATTGTCCTTTTTATATTTTTTTATTATTAATATATTTGTTGTCGGTTTTATCCGACATAGAATGCTCTTATTTATTCATTATTGATAAATTCTCTGTCAGTTATATCCGACACAAGTTCTGTTGGTTTTATCCAATAGAGAATGCTCTTATCTATTCATTATTAATATATTCTGTCAATTATATCCGACACAAGTTCTGTTGGTTTTAGAGTATTTTCTATCGGAAAATTCATTTCCTGATGCGGGCAATTATGCCGCTTATTATATCCACCACTGCATCCATTTTCTGTCAGATTTTGCTTAATATCCGACAGTAATATACGTTTTTATCGATTATCATAGCAACATTAATAAATTGTTTCCTAGTAATGACCACTGGTATTATGTATGTGGCCATAGGACACAAATGATGGAGGATGTGAGTTATGATATATATTATACCCCTAGCTTCACCGCCGAAAGCGGTGTTGGATAGCTTCACTAGTCACGGCTAGTGTCGGTGTGGATGTATGCTATTTTATACAGCTTCACCTACGGGTGATGGACAGGTTATTCAGCTTCACCTTTGGGTGATGGACATGTTATACAGCTTCACCATCGGGTAATGGACAGGTACTGCCTTCGGGTGACTATAATACCTCTAGTTGAGTACAGCATGAATATGATTTACGATGTTTCACACATGTTTTTCATGGCATGCTAGGATTTTTATAAAACCTATTATGTAGTATTATATATGTTTTAAAAAACAGGGGGTTAGTATGTTCACAAAGAAAATGGTTTTCCTATTACTAGTATTATTATTATAAACTTTGGTCTACTCACCTTTTCTGGTTTTGCGCTTCTTTAGAAGTTAGGATTGAGGCACAAGATCCCCGCGTCATGACTCTACAACATAGATATTCTCAAGTCTTCTCAGTATAGGTATCATTTCTTTGTTCACAACTTTTCATAGTAATTCATTCCATATTATTCTTAGTGGTTGTATGCTTTGAATACGATTCTGCTTCGGTATATATCTTTCTAATTAAATATTTTATTGGTATACATGTTTTTAATGGCTTCTTCACCCTCGGGTGTCGGCCAGCACGTGCTTACCCTAGTATTTAGGGATGTCGGAGTTGGGGCGTGTCAACTCCCAAGTGCTTTTCCATAATGAATTGTCCTTCTAATACTCAATGAACAAAAGTGCTTAATGATTTCCTACAAAAACAGCCTCAGACGAACATTTATTCCAATTAACCGGATTCCGGCTAAGCCTAGAGATAAGATGGGGATACCTGGTTGGCCAACCCTTGAGCAGCAGCAAGAGCATTGGCCCTTTCTGCCTGCACAGGGCTGAGGGTGATGCCTTTTGCATTGGCGCCATATTTACTGGCCAGATCTGGAGCTCCCTCCGATCCCACATCCCACATCCACCAAATTCTTGGGAATTCTAATTGGGGGCTCCTCTGCAAAAACAAATCTCAATTTAAATTACAATATTACCCCAAAGTTAATTAATTTATGAAATCACCTAATTAAAGATTAAAAAAAGAAAGACCAGAAATGCCGGCGAATCGGAGGACCTCAGTCGATCATGCGAATCTGGGCGGCGCGATGGTCAGGGAATGGAGACTGAAACGTCGGCGTTCGGGTCGTAGTAGCCGTGGTGCATATGGTCGCCCCAGATGTTCTCCCACAAGCCAGATGACTCGTCGTAAAGCTCAGCAATCCCCTTCTTCAACTCCACTACATCCATTGCCGCTGTCTCCGCCACCGCGTTCAGTCTCCTAAACAGTCTGTTCCTGAGCTCGCTCCAGCCACGACTGTACTCGTACAATGGTGGCACCTGCAAGGCAGCACTGCTCTACCAGCAGAGGCTCGATGAGAGAGAGTGACTGAGTGAGAGAGTATGAGTGCTTTGGAGAGTTGGTGGCTCCTGAAAAACAATACTGCATGCGTATGACTCGTGTTAGGATAACAGTGTAATATGACACCCGTAACGAAACCGTCGAAATGTATTATTTGGTGGGTTTCGATTCGGTTCAAATGGTTTGGTTTAATATACGTAAGGTTTTTGAAGAAGTTGGGATCATTAACAACCAATAACCCATGTTGGTTTCATGTTGTTTCTAAGAGCACCTTTAGATATTTTATAGTAGTTTAAGTGAGTGTGTGATGTACATAGGTATCGTTTGGTATGCAGACGGGACGGGACGGGACGGAACAGAACGGAGCAGGAGCAAAGATGCTCTTGGATGGAAACAAGGAGAAAGAAGAAGGAGATGGAGAGGTTATAATTTTGTGTTCCACGGATGTGGAACGAGTCGTTCCAGGGGAGTGAGGCGGAACGAAAATTCACCCAAAACTCGTCCCGTGGAACAGCTCGTTCCACCCGTTTTAGGCGCACCAAACATGGAACGGAACGGCTTGTCCCACTCTGTTCCGTCCCGTCCCACGTACCAAACGGTACCTATAAGAACCAGGCACTTGAATTTAATTTGTATTAAACTCTTGTTACGCAGTAGTGCTATTTACATACTCTTTTTTATTTTCCACACACTCTCAATTTTCAACATTTAGATCAAATGATATGAAGAAGATTAAATAACAGAAAATAACATGAGATGGGTCATAAGTAAAAATTGATGTGTGGATAACACTATCTTTGTCACAATGGTGTGAGTTTGATATGAATGAGTTTATATATTAAATGTGGAACCCATCCATTTTTTATTTTTCTCTATTTTATGATTGGCTACCTATTTTCTCTCTTGTAATTATAGTGGTATAAAAAATTAAAAAAAATAAAAAATTCACTCTCACAGCACTCAAAATTTTTGGCCTCCTGTATGAGATTGATTTCTATAATTGATATCACATGCAGTTTTCATTCTATTGTAGAATGCCTTAATAGAGATGTCAAATATGAATTGTCAAAAATTTAATTTAAGAAGAATGTGACCTTTGAAGTTGATGTCAAATTTTATTTATTTATTTAAGAGATATGTTAAATTATTGTTTATTATACATTGGGCCACAGTGATACAGTTTTAAAGGAGAAAAAAGTTTAAATAGTTTAAAAGTTGTATCTTATTGGTGATTATGGCATCTCACACATTAAATAATGAAATTGACTCCATTTTACATTTTTATTTGTTGTAAAAAAGACTTAAAAATAGTCAAATAACTTAGTTGTCATGTAACTTATGGCATCTCCTTGAAGAAAACCTTTGGTGTCATTTAGTCATAATTGGCGTACCTTAAACAATATTTTCCTTACCTAATTGCACAATACATCTAAAAAAATGTCAAAGAGAATTTCCTTGGACATAATTAAAGGAGTCATTGAAAGGTGACTAAAACATTGGAAATGGGGCAAGTGGCTCTTTACCACAGTGATGGAGAAGAGTATTGCCCTTGCACAACGGCGTGAGCATGAACCCCGTTAGCTCCCTAAAGAGTCGGCAAAAAAAATGGAAATGGGGACTACCCGAGCTAATGATAAGGCAAGAACACTTTCTGACCCAGTCCCATAAATTGGTTATAACGATATCGTGGAAATATTGCACGGGCCCATGGAGTTTCCTATTCCTCAACCAATTTGGTTGTGTTAGCCTTGAGATTGACCAAACATTTAGTTATATGCTGGCTAGAGATACTCTAACATAATCAAACTAATGACATTGTTCGTTCCTTACATGTAATGAGTTATTCCTCATATTGTTCGTTCCTTACATGTAATGAGTTATTCCTCTTTTGATGACAACGTGGTACCATTTCATCACATCCTTAAATAACCTCATGCTTAGCCAACCCAGAAGTCCTTATGGAGTGTATGATGATCCTAATAAATTATCACGTAACTATTTGATTTTTAATTTTAATTTTTTACAAATATAAGAAAAATATGTGAAAGAAATGATGAATGAAGTGTTGAAGTAAAGATGTGAATGTGCCACTTAGTATTACGGTCTAGTGATATTCCTCTTCACTTGTAAGTGAGATATCTTAGGTTCGATTCTCGCCAAAAACGAATGTGAACATTATTGTTAAACCATTGTGTGTCTTAGCCCATTGTGAGGCTCTTGGTTATGGAATTAATTGTGAGTATTTATCCTTCTCCTTCACCTTCATCTCTCTTGTTTTGATCTTCCAATTTCGTCTTGAGTTAGAAAATGGTCTATTGAAACACCCTTTAGCATAAAGAAAGCACAAGAACAAATAAAATGTGGAATTCTTACACCTGCCATAAAGTTACGCTTCATATTCTGCCACCTAAGTTGACCTCACACTTACGGCCCTTGGTTTGTGCATGAATATGGCTGGTCACATTCAACACAATTTCTCTTGGCTCATCTCAAATTGTCTCGGCCACTGTGTGCTCCCATTTATCCCGTCTTGATCTTTTGAGAACGTTCGAGCAAGAGCATGCATGTTGTGACCCGAAAAATGGTGAGCTATGTCCCAAGTGGAGTAGGATTCTTTCTTTCTTTTTTTCCTTCTCCTTCTCCTTCTCTTCTTCCTATTTGAATGGTCACGGATAAGCCACATCATTATCTTATATTATTTTTTTTATAACAAGAGAAAGACAAAATAAGAGAATGTAAGAGGAGGGGATGGAAGGAGATGAAAAGAGGAGGGGAAAGAATCCTAGTCCGTCCCAAATTTCAAGGTTTATTTTTTCACTTGAAAATTCTAATTTTTTATGTTTATGAATCCAAATAAAGGAATTAATGTATTTTAGCTTATAAATTCTGATTTTTACTAAAATTTCATGTTTATTTTCTTCATCCAAACATAATGTAAAAGTTAAGTAGTTTATCAAACGAGTCCTTAATATTGATTTTCTTTTATAATATTTCTTTTTCTAGTCAATTGTGTTGATTTTTTTTTTTTAAAACAATTGATATTATCTACATTAGGAGGAGGAGGTGAGTTTAGTCTCACAATGAGTTAACAATAATGTAGTAGAATCGAACCTAAGACCTCTCACTTACCAATGAAGAGGAATATCACTAGAACGTAGTACTAAGTAACAATTGTATTGAATTTTAAGTTGCAAATGCACCCTTGTGGCTTATTAAATGAAATTGTAACTCTTGTGTTTCTTCAGTTAACTAACATTTTTTTGTTGATAGTATCTATTTTTTCGTGGTTGAGAGAGATTTCAATTTCAATTTTTTTTTTCTTGTTATAAAAACTCTTTGCTTCAAGTATTTTTTTGCGAAATGTAATATTATTAAAAATAATTAGGTGAAAAAACCTTTTTTCCTCACTGTATAGATAATAAATTATTAAAAAACATTGTTTATAAATGTTTTATGATTATTGAGGATATATTTTCAACCTTTTTTTTTAGTACATCGATATTTTACACTAAGGAGAGGGGGAGTTCGTCTAAATCATTTAATGGGCAACTTAATTTGGTATCGAATTCACCATCCATGAGATTCGAACCTAAGATCTCTCACTTTCAAGTGAAGATGAATACTACCATACCATAGTACTGAATGACTTAAACGATAATTTTTGAAATAAAGGATATATTGTTCTTCTAGCAGAAACGCTTATAACAAAAACGTTTATCAAAGAAAGTGACTTGTATTGTTCATTTCCTAATGGGATCTAGAAAGTCAAATCAAAATTCCTCCTTTAGAGCAAGTCCACCCATGGTTTTTAGCTATGGCTAGATCCCAAATCCAATCGGACATTCACCTCTATCCATTTCTTCTAGACATGGCTAATGGAGATTTAGAAGTTGGAAGCAGCCATGTCAACTCTAGTCCAAAGCCTAATTTCATGGCAGTTATTAGTCACAATTGATCGAGAGTAGCATAATCATAGCAATATATTCTAAATTAATCTCATCCGTTAAATACTCGATGAATAGTAACTATCCTGGATGGGGAGTTGTAAAGAAAAGTCAAAGCAATTTACTATTTAAGAGGATAGTAGCGGTCACAAGTTCCCTCCAAGACCCAAATCCACCAAATGAGTGGAAATGCTCTTAAAATCCAATATGTGGCCTCCTTGACCTCATTTGTTTCAATAAATAAGAAGTCCAATAAAATGAGGCAAGTCTTTAATAATTTGGAGTATTCAACAGTCTGACTTTATATTTATTAAGCGTAAATGTTATCGTAGACAAATTTTTAGATCATATTTGCAAAGAGTGGTGATATTCTACATCCAGTGTTTTATTTCCTCATCCACTATTTAATGAAAATGTTAATAGCATATTTATTATTTTAAAATAAGACTCTTAAACCCCTATTTAATTCAGTACTAAAATAATAAATAAATAATGGTGGGTGATGTGTGATATCTTTGGTGAAAAGAGGTTAGGAATGATTTGGATTAGAATCAATAGAAAGGTTGGAGGAAGGAATGTGCATGTGCTAGATGAAGGCGAGAAACTTCAATGGAGAAAAAAGAGAATTGGGTGTGAGATCTGCGGTTTTGACAAAAAAAAGGAGGAAGAAGAGTGGTTTGAAAATCCAGGGTCTCTGCAAGGCGGCATTAGGTGTGAAGGAGATGGTGAATGTCTAGGTCTTAGGTCTTGCATTTTCTTTCATTTTTTCTATTTTTATTTATTTATAATATTATTTAAAGATATATCAGAGTTATTTTAAAAAATATATATTATGGTTATTTTGGGAATAATGGTGGGTGGGGAAATAACATTTTACTTTTTTAATTTTCTATGGTGGGTGGATTATCATGTGGGTGGGAAAATAGGACACTGCGGATGGGTCT